ACACTTTAGTAGTTTATTAATATTATATTATCTGTAAGTACAGTTTAACTAGATTTTGAGGACACTAAAAAGTGCACTTTCGATACCTTTAAGCACACTTCTTTAGCACAAGGGATAGATCAAGTCCTGACTTCTGATTAGTCAATACAGTGTTTCAGTTGGACTTAAATAGTTACAACTTTGAAGTGAAGGACCATTCAAACTTGTCATAAATAAATCACATATCTGAATGTATTTAAACAAGCTTGTTCTCATTAAAACATAAGGACACAAGGGTTCTAGCACTTGTCGATGCTTTGGGTGTTTGCTTGGTCTGTACGCTCACTACAGCATGAACATTTCTCTTCCCCTAAACTGCATTCCAGTGTATTTGTGCGTGCTTATTTTTGTATGGTGTCCTGCAATAGCTATTGTGTAATGGAATTAAACAAATGTGACAGTAAAGTGAAACTTGAGCGTGTTGTGTTCACAAAGATCTTTACAAGCGAACCACACTGCGTGTGCTGTGGACATCTGAGAGGGTCTGGGGTTGTTTAGCGCGTTCACACACACGTGCCAGAACTCGTGCTCCGAGACCCCTGAAGTGAAGGCAAGTGTTGGCCAGAAGCTGACTGAAGGAAACTTTAGGTTTTTAACACTGTTCGTCACAATAGAAGCAATATATATCTACTGTATATACCTAAAGATGAAGGGCATCTCGGGGACCGCACTCCAAAGGTTCAGGTCTTACCTCTCAGGTAGATCCTTTAGGGTGTAGTGGAGGGGTGAGGTGTCTATATGGCAACATTTAGCTACTGGGGTGCCTCAGGGTTCAGTGCTTGGACCACTGCTCTTCTCCATCTACATGACATCACTAGGATCTGTCATTCAGAAACATGGATTTTTAACACTGTTCATGACAATGGCAATATATATCTGTGGAGATTTGCTAGTTTTTTGTTGTTGTTTTTTTAGCCGCATCGTTTCAAAGTTTTCGACTAGTTGACTCCGAAATAATTTGTAAAAGCAGTACAGGACACAAACATGTAGGGATGAACAAAATCTTGTATGACAGTCTGATTAATTTCATTCCATGTCACAGGAACAATATATTACAGTATAGTTATTTTTATCTGAAAATTCAACCCAAAATGATTTATAAATTATACACTACCATTTAAAAGTTTGGCGTCAGTAGGATTTTTTTTTATTACTTTTATTCAGCAAGAATGCATTCAATTGATCAAAAGTGACAGTAATTGACATTTATAAAGCAACAAAAGATTTCTATTTCAAATAACTGCTGTTCTTTTGAACTTTCTATTCATAACATATTAAAATGATTTCTGGAGAATCATGTGACACTGAAGACTGGAGTAATGATGCTGAAAATACAGCTTTGATCACAGAAATAAATGACATTTTACAATATATTCACATAGAAAATGGTTATTTTAAATTGTAATAATATTTCACAATATCATTAATAACATAATACAAATCCAGTCAATTACTTCCTCATTTCAAATATTTTTTAATGTGGAAGTATTATTTTTTGGAATACAAACCAACATTAAAGTTATTTATTTATTTTAAAAAAAGTTGTTAAATTGCTTGGCAACCAAGTTGCAGTGTTGCAACCGTAAACAACTTCTACTCTGAAATGCTGTATATACTTCTATATGATATACTTCTAACTGAAATCTACAAAGACTGCGATTCAGTTTTTCAGAGTATTCTATAGTTTTCTTGCCATGGAGGTTTAGCAGAATCTCTAGCGGTTGACACATCTCTACCTCCACATGGCCAGCGTACAGACATCCTGACATCTGTGCCCACAGCCATTCATATCTGCTGTTCATGTGAGAGACTGAGACTAACAATTCGTCTATCAAGGCGGTAAATGTATTTTCATGCTGTTTAAATAAAAAAATTACATTCATTTTATGAAGAACTTGACAGCTGCAATATCTCTCACTGTCTCTTCATGGAGATAAAGAATATTGAGTGTTCTTTGAGGAGATAAATGTGATTTATCATGTGAAATGGATTTGTGTGTGTGTGTGTGTGTGTGTGTGTATCATGGCACCAGGCCGCTGCTTTGACTGCAGGATTTAACTGAATACGATTTACTGCTCGGTTTGGCTTCAGTTTGCAAACTGGCTGTCTTTGAGTGTCTGTTTTGTTGGCAGCATTGTTTCCAATGGCTCTGGTGTGTGTGTGTGTGTGTGTGTGTGTTAGGGTTCTTTGGTTGTGTTTTATTCATTCAGTTATTGGTTGTTTGTGTGTCTGGTCTGATGTATTGAGCGTTGCCTTCACATCCTCTTTGCGGTCGCGGGGCATGAAGTCATACTAACACACACAACATTACAGAATGAAGTCTGTAAACAAGTGCTGCTTCACTAAATATCAAGTCCAAAATAAAAACCTTCCTCTTATGGATCTCTATTATGGGTTATGTAACGTACATCCACTTATGGCTTCTAGACTAATTTATTATGTCCTGTCCTGGAAAAAAGTGTAGAAAAGTCACAGCCACAATGTAGGTTTGCCAGGCCATTGCTTATGCAGTGGCTAAAGTGTTCCTTTAGTGGTTTCTGGATGGTTTCTAAGGTGTTCTGGGGTGTGTTTCCCATACAACAACGCAACTCATTACTTAAAGGCACAATATGTAGGTTTTTTTTCGCCACAAGAGGGTGCAGTTTCCAACAATAACAAAGGCGTAGGTTGATGACGCAGTGATGAGCTGAATGATGGGACTTGCTGTCAAGCTGATGGATCTAATAATGTTTATGGATGAGTGCAAACATTCATGTTTTTTTAACATTACAGTGGTATGAAGCAGGTCACGATTGCTAAAGAGACAGATATCACACGCGAGTCCCGCGGATATAAAGGAATAAGGACATTTAATTCTACCAAACTTCCCGCGAGTGCTGGATTACTCACACAGGTCAGTGTATTAGACGAATTAACTTGTGAGGGAACGCAGCGCTGCTTCACTTGGTCTAACGTTACACTATCACACTAAACGGCATTTAAATGTGAGTTGAAAGTTATAATGTTATACTATGTGTTAGTTCGTTTGCTATACGAAACTAGCAGTGAGCTAGATCAACATTAGAACTCGTGAAGCTCTGTCATAGGGGTGGGCGAAATGGCAAAAATATCATATCACGATTTTTTTCAGGAAAATCACGATTAACGATTTTATCACGATTCTTTTTCATGTTGGTTTTACTATTTTGCAAGTGACTGAGCATTACAGCCAAACTAATGTCCCTATTTTAAAAAAAAAAGCCTTATAGGTAACAAAAGAAAAAAGAATGGCAGACATTTAGGCCAAAGTGGCGAAGATAAAAATCTTTATCATTATTTTCTTTGATATTAAGAATTAGGAACAAAGATACACATTAAGCATACACAACTTAATATACAAATGAAATAAACAGTGCTTTATTTTTTCAGCTACAGTAGGGGTATTTAACAGTAGCATTGAAGAAAGTAATTAGGCTAAATGAACAAATACGAAAATAAAACACAACATAGACTTCACTGTATAAATTATACATTGATTATTATTAAAGCTACTACTAAAGTTCTCAGTCAAGAGCAGTGAGTGATTTCCTCTTTGTGTTTTGTTGTTTTATTAACATTAAAGGGATAGTTCTCCCAAACATTTTAATTGTCATCATTTACTCTCTCAAGTTGTTTTAAACCCGAATAAGTATCTTTCTTCTGTTGAAAATAAAAGTTATTTGGAAGAATGTGGCTAACCAAACAGTTGCTGTACTCCAGTGACTTCCATAGTATATGTTTTCCTACTATGGAAGTCAATGGGGACCAGCAACTGTTTGGTTAGCCACATTCTTCCAAATAACTTTTATTTTCAACAGAAGAAAGAAATTAATACAGGTTTGGAACAACATTAGAGTGAGTAAATAATGACAGAATTTTTATTTTTGGGTGAACTATCTCTTTAAGGACAAGAGGCAGCTTGTTTACTTACTGGCTACTGTCGCTTTAAGAGCTGCACGCGACGCGTCTAACACGCATTTGACAAGCAGATTTTCTCTCATTTTTTTTCTGTTTGCTTTCACTTTAGACATAACCAACTTTGTTTATGTAAACCTTGTGTGTATTTGACAATATTAGCGCAATAAGACTCGAAAGATAACTTATAACGTAGTCCAGTAAACAGACGCTGTTAGACAGGCTTTCAGTGCCCGTGTGCTTCGGGTGTATGTGCTCAGAAAGCACACGTCAGAACAGCGCATCAGCACGTGAATTACATGTTTAACCAGCAAGGCTTTAAAGCACATGCAAATAATGAACTTCTGTGAACTGCAGTGTCCCGTTCCTCTGCGTTAACATTTTGTTGTATGTTGAGACGGAGCTCGGCGCCAGAACTGCATAAAATGCACGATACTACGATATTTCTTCAAAAGCAGATCGTGGAGACATTTTAATCGTCCACGATCAAAAACCGTGATATCGCACACCCCTACTCTGTCAAGTCCAAGTTAGTCGCAGACGCTAGCTCTCGGCATCTCAAAAACGCTACGCTGATATTGATCCTTGTTTTAGTTCTCCTTGTTTGTCTCCTTGTTTGAAAGAAACAAGAACTGCGTGCCGCTAAACGTTACGCACTACGCAGTTGTCCACGTCTGTCGCCATGGTTACGTCATGGCTATGGCAGTATGAACGGCGCGGATATTGCGTCATTGACAGGCGACATTTTTTTCCGGGACGGCCACTTATTTAAAATTGGAATTTCTCTGAAATAAAACATCTTTGGAGACTTTTGGGATATTCTAAGTACACAACTGCAGGAAATATATCACACTGTGCAAGTGATTTGTGGATATTTTATTACAAAATTCTTACATATTGTACCTTTAACTCCATAATACAAAGCATCGTTGTAGAAACAACTAGCCAGTCAGACGTTGACTTCAAACTGGGATAAAGATATTAACAACATCATATTTTCTTAATAGGTTGTGTTTGTGTGTTTCTAGGTGTGTGACCTGTCCTTTAGTTTGAAGAAGATGTTGATCAGACACAAACTGACCCATAATCCCAACAGACCCATGGCTGAATGCTCCCTGTGCCACAAGAAGTTCACCCGCAACGACTACCTCAAAGTCCATATGGAGAACGTCCACGGAGAGACGGAGGGATAGACAATCATACACTACACCTATACATATACACACACTCACACAAGCCGTATAAAACCATGTATGCAAAGGTATATACAACACACAAGGGTATGTTTGAGTGGCCACACTCATTCCAATGATCTGTCCTATCTACATGTACAGAACCAGTTCATTTCCTTCTGACGCATTATCACGAGACTGATCAGTGTGATTAAAGGGATAGTTCACTTTGAAATTAATTTTTGGTATGTTTTAGCTTACCTCAAGGGCATCCAAGATGTAGGAGTCTTTGTTTCCGCAGTAGTTTCAATTTTGATATTTTTAGGTCAAACCGTTCTTGTCTGTCAGTCATATAATGCAGGTCTATGGTCACCACCTCAAAGAGCATGCACAGAGAAGTCCAGATTAAACATGATTTAATGACTCGTAAATGTAAGTACACATTGATGGCCTAAGACACGAAACGAGCGGTTTGTGTGAGAAAACGAACAGTATTTATATCGTTTTTACCTCTTGTAACCACAGCCACGTCCAAGTGATCTGAGGGCGCCGGCGCTTCGGTCTGCGCGTTACAAGAGGTAAAAACGATATAAATACTGTTCGTTTTCTCACACAAACCGCTCGTTTCGTGTCTTAGGCCATCAATGTGTACTTACATTTACGAGTCATTAAATCATGTTTAATTTGGACTTCTCTGTGCATGCTCTTTGAGGTGGTGACCATAGACCTGCATTATATGACTGACAGACAAGAACGCTTTGACCTAAAAATATCAAAATTGAAACTACTGCGGAAACAAAGACTCCTACATCTTGGATGCCCTTGAGGTAAGCTAAAACATATCAAAAATTTATTTCAAAGTGAACTATCCCTTTAAACGGCATTTAATCATGACTGCAAATCAGATTTCGATTGGAGGGAAGCATGAAAATGTGCAATTGTATAGAGCTTCATGAACAAAGTATATCCATCATATTGATCCTTTTTCAATACATGTTTGTATGTCAACATCAGTTGTTTCTGATTCCTCGCGATTGTTGAACGATGTTGCGTGACCAAAGAACATGATGTGCCAATTTTCTACAACCTTGTTGAGAGTAAAGTTTGTTGATTTCAAATGTTGTTTGCGTTTAACTGTATTATTCAATAATTCTCATTTTATATTTTCAGCATTCGGGTTCACATAAGGTTTGTGTTTGATTGTCAGATTAACTTCTTGCGACTTTTAAGTTGGAAGGTTTGGATTTGATTTGGATGAATGAACGATTGAATCGCTGATATCACTAATCTGGTCTGTCTGTTTTTTTTTTTTTTTTTGCTAAATATTCATTTTCCCCGACCCTATCCTGTCCATCTGCAGGATACATGTTGCAGTGCTCTATGGGATACAGTCGACAATGCTTCTCCCCTGATTACATTCATTGGCTTTAGTTAATTATAAACATTTGGTTCTTGGTAAACGGTTGGTGTCTGAGGAATCGGATGTGCTTTGATACTTGATTAGACATGCTTGGTTGATGATTGTTTTCTAAAGCTGGGAAGCATTGGTTGTAGCATAATTAAAGCCTCAGTGTGGCTTTGGACAGAAAACTAATTACTCATTAAATCTGAGATCCATAGCTAAATGCACAAATTCTACTTCTGATCTCTAAGAACAGAACTTTTCCCCCTTATGCCCGGTACACGCTGTATGATTTTGGGCCGTCCCAGATGAAAGTTGGGCAATCGTGGTGATTTCTGTGGTCAATGTGATTTCTCATCAGTTAAGGCCCGTTCACACCAAGAACGATAACTAAAATAACTATATTAGTGTCCACCCCAGCGGACAATATCGCTCTGTTTTGTTGTCTGCCGCTTTAAATGCTGGAGCTCTTTAAAGCAGGATGGATTCTGATTGGCTGTCAATGTTTTTGTCGTTCATCAGCTGGAAAAAAATCGTTCTGGAAGTGATTCTGACGATATTGTTTCTGTGTGCCGATATCGTTATAGTTGTGGTGTGGCTATATCTTTATCGTTATCATCCTGGGTGTGAACTGGTGACAAGTCTTTTAACTCAAGTCTTAAGTCTTCTTAGATTTCCAGATTATTGGTCTTTAATTTTAGGTACAGACTCAATTTCTTTAAGCATGTGGGAGTGATTTCTTGTTGGGTAAAAAGTGTCGAGCTCGAAATAGTCTTTATCTCAATCATTATATATATATATATATATATATGGGAATGAGCATAAATCACAGCTGAGGATTTTGTCTTGCCCTCTTTTTTTCAATCATATCTTCTCACTTTTCTGAGCCTGGAGTGTAAGTGTTAATCAAGCTACAGTATAGGCTGAAATATTACAAATATTCTTTGCACACAATCCTACATATCTCGTCTCTCGTTTTCTCCTCTGTTCCTTTCTTTTTTCAGTTTATTTCTACTTTCTATCCTCTTCACTTTTTTCTCACTTTTTCTAGCATAAAAAAATCATAAAGTGCCAACTAAAGATTTTTAGAAAACATCTGGATAACAATCCACCAGTGTTGTAGTCGAGACGAGCTCCATTTGAGTCGAGACATGAGTAGGTTGCGCCTGATCCAAGACTGAGAGGGTCGAGTCCAAGTCAAGACCGAGTCCAAATGCCCCCGAGTCCGTGACGAGACTCAACGTGAACAGTGACATAAGTTGTGTAAAACACTAAACAAGAACAGTGTTCATCAGAGGAAATCCTTGCGTGAAGCCATTGCTGTCTAGAAACACATTACTACGCATCTAAATTGACTAAAGATGTTCCACCAGGTGGGAAAATACCACTGGGAAAATAATGGATGAAATTAAAGCTGAGAGTTTTGGAAAGCACAACACACCAAGTCAAGTCACATTTATTTATATAGCGCTTTTTACAATACACATTGTTTCAAAGCAGCTTTACAGAGATAACAGGAAAATAATGCAAAAAAGTTTGTTTCCAGGAACATCAAAACCTCATCCCAAGTGTGAAGTATGGTGGAGGCAGCATCATAGTTTAGGTTGATTTGCTGCCTCAGAACCTGGAAAGCTTGCTATTATTGACAGAAAAATGAATTCCCATGTTCATCAGGACATTTTGATGGAGAACGAAAGGTGATTTGTCTCCGCTCAACAGACATTGAGTAGATACAACAAGACAATGACCCAAAGGGGAACAGGGGGAAATTCAGCAACAGAATAGCTTCAACAGACGAAAACACTCCTATAGCAGCCCAGAGTCCTGACCTCAACCTGATTGAGATGGTTTGGCATGACCTCAAGAGAGCAATTCACACCAGACATCCCAAGAATATTGCAGAGCTGGAACAGTTTTGTTTAGAGGAGTGGTGCAAAAATTCCTCCTGACCATTGAGCGGGATTGATCTGCAATTGCAGGAAGTTTGGGGTTTCTTTGGCTATGTCTGTACAATGATTACCGGAGACTGCTGAGCAATTGTTTGCTACTTCATTTCAGAATTTGCAGCCCAAGAAAACTTGAGTAGTTGGCTGTTTCGAATGTTGTTCAGATGATCGTTTCCTATTCAAGCGGGCATTTCTCGGCCTAAACAAGCTGCAAAGTTGACCAGACTTTCAGAAGTCAGTCTCTCCAGGACCAGGACGGCCGTGGTGTGAGAACGACGGTGAACCTGTTGCACTCGGACCAAGTTCTTTCAAAGGACCGCTTACCATTTCCAAACCACTTCAGAGCAAGGACTGTTTCTCTCACACCCTTTCTACATTTCAATTCGTCCTCAATCACAGAGTTTCGTACACACACGAGTGATTTACTCGGCATCATCTGTGTAGCCGGGAGGGCGTGTGTGTGTGTGTGTGTGTGTGAGAGCGTCCTCTGTGGGTTTTTGAAGTGGCTTCTGACTCAGTATCTGCAGCATCCGTTCCAAACTGTGGGTTTCATCTCTATCTTGCGTCCTCTGTTTATCTCTTCCCGTCTCCTCAACCTTCCCTAAATGCCTACACTGACGCCCCAATCCTGGCTGCATTCCCTCGGGAAAAGGGAGTTACCACGGCAGCCCCCACAGGAACATCCCGCTCCGTGTCAACCAACGCTGGCATCCGAACACACTCACACACACGCATGACCGCAGACTGCAAGAGCGTCCTGGAATTTTTTATTTTATCAGTGGTGATGGAGAACCAGTATCCCAGTGCGTACAGTGTGTGTATATATATACGTTTCTAATTATTCTCTTTATGAGTCTGCTGGTTTCCTGTTCCCCGTGTGTGTGTGTGTGTGTGTGTGTGTGGATGGGGACACTGGTCTCCACCCTGACTTCAGGAGTATCATTAACCTCTCACCACACAACCCGTCCAGTCAGACGGGACCGCCGTCACCACAGTAACAGGTAGTGTGGGATGCCTTCCTAAACCCTCGGAATGTGAAGTATGGCTGTCCACATTGAGTCCTGTGGGTCGGGAATCTAAGGAAAAGAGCGTGTTTTTAATGTGTGTTTGCATGGAAAAACAGGGAGCGGTACCAAGAAGGGAAACCCAGGCCCACAACCACAGCGAGGAAGAGAAAAGGAGGCGATAAATCAAGAGGGGACATTAGTTGAAATAAAGGAGGGGAGTTTAGCTTTAACCTGAGAGCTGACGCCCCTAGTGGCAGGATAGACTATGGCAGGTTCATTTAGCAGACAGAATGTGTGTGAGGTTCACAATGCTTATTCTACTATTATAAAACAGAAAGTTACGTCTCTAACTTCTGATTGGATGGCTCATGTTAATGGCTATGTTACTTGGCAGAAGACGTGAATATTATTAATAACCAATCGAATTATTGATTTAGCGTTTGCTTTTTATCACATTGCTCTTGCTGCCATTTTAAAATCAAGTGTCTATTTACAAGTTTATAGATTTAGAAAAAATATCAATATTTTTAAGAAAAATATAATTTCTCTTTTAGAAACTTTCTTGTAATCTTGTGTTTGCTGATCAAAAGGAGAAAGGACGTTCATCTTGATTTAATTGTTCGTTTATTTTTTACTTTCATTAATAACAATTTTATTCATTTATTAAATATTGGTTTATATGACATTTGTTCTTTCTTTCTACCATTTTAAATCCGAAGTGTCATTTTACAATGGTTAATTGGATAAAGTTGAGCTATTTTTAGAAAAAAAAT